TTATTACTTATAATTATGTTCCTTTGAAAAATAAAATTTTCAAACTTTTATAGTGACTGATTGAGTAAATCATACTCTTGTATGAAAAATAAACCAGTGGCAACATCTCATAGCCGAGAGAGTAAATAAATATTAGGTCTCAGTCAAAAAAATGATATTTTAACATCCGAGGACACATTCTCATATGCCTTCCATGAGAATCTTTTTTTACCCATTTCCCCACAAAAATTACTATATACCTACTCTTGAGATGAAATTTTAAATAAAAAAAGTAGACCAACACACAAAAAGGAACACTCTCATGTGTCTGCAACTAGCGCTCCATCTTTTCATGCCTTAACAAATTTATTATTGTTCCGAAGAAGAAAAAAATATACAAAGGGTGACAGAGCAGTCACCGGTGGTTCAATTAAAATATCCAGTTACTTGTCTTTTTTTTTTTTTTTTTTTTTTTTTTTTTTCTTTTTTTTTTTTTTTTTTTTTTTTTATTGATCACCGTCGGATTAAAATCTAACGGGTTAAGTATTCTTAATCCTAATTCAAATGTTGATAATGTAATTTTACTTTTCGAAAATTAATACCTCTTGAACAAGTTGGTGAAGATCAATGGCCGGAATAGTAAAGGGTTTGTAGCTCAAGTGATTAAGAATATTTATCCATACACTAGATGTTCTAGATTCGATTCTTTCCTTTTCAGTATCACTTGTATGAAAAATCCACTAACTGAAAAAGCCTCGTCAAAACGTATATATTTGACCCGAACATATGTAGCTGCTGACCAAAAGACCTACCCACCATGTGAAGTATTGATATTAAATTAGGGCTTAATAATGAAGAGCAGTTAAAGAATAGAAGCATCACACAACACAAGCTTCACAAACACCTAAAAATATTTTTCAATATGTTTTATATTTATAAAACAAAGATGGTATTTCTGGAAGTTGAATAAAAAAGGGTTTGAGACAGTGACTGGCATGTCAGCCCGCCAGAGTCATAGAACAACGAATAATAGAATTTTAGGCTTTATAGCACACAGAAGAAACCAGGGATACGAAACATTAAGCTAACTTTTCTTTTTTACAAGTTTATCAAGGGAATTTATCATTGTTATTTTGACGGCCTTGAATTTTCTAAAAGGTGGACTGTGTTTTACTGCCTATATTTCTTAATAAATGAATAATGTTATTTTGTCAAATATTTTATTAACAAGACTTTTGAACGATCCGAACTGTCTATTTTTCAAGTTTTCATTTCATAGATTATCCTTACAAAAAATCAGGTGAATTGAAAACTATTAAGACATCTGGTTGTGATAACAAAAAAAATAAAATTGAACATGGTGCTCCAAGAAATCACTAAAATGACAACAATTAATTGAGTGGTTACATGATTTTGGATTCAGGTATTTTTTGCAAAGATGATCTTTAAAAGAAATACATAAAAGATAGACGGTACAAAGCATGGAAATACAATATGAAACAACTTCACAAAGATGTTCCTCAAATAAGTATTTGAAGCATCTTACCATGACCATCATTACCACCAAACTCCACTACTATTGTCGTTACTACCATTGCCACTGCCATCACCACCATTACCGCCACCATCAACCCTGCCCACACATCTAATACCGTATTATACAACTACCCGGACCAACAATTTATATTAAGCTTACACGTATTATACAACTAAATGTTAGGCTATAGGTGCATCATTGACGCACTTGATTGTTGGTAGCTAGCATGTATAAAGGCCCATGACCATCCACTTAGAGAGGTTTTAAAGGAATAAACCTGCAACCCCTACACAGCTGAACAGAATCGCTACCACAAGAAGCCTAATATAAAAATGAAAAAGGCAAAAGTGGAATGAGCAGCCTTCAATCTTACTACAAGTTTTTTGAACCTCTCAAAGAAAAAGCGAAATGGTAAAGAGAAAGAAAGAAAAAAAAATTACTGTAAATAAGCGTTTAAACATCCACTTTCCTTGAATGGGGTGTGGAATTTTTGGGCTCAACAAAGCACGTGACTAGAAATATAAATATTATGAAGGCTAGAACTAGACTAGTGGCATAGGATGGCTTGGTCATTTGAGGTAAGGAAATTCACCTATTTATCCGACCCATATACAGTGGGGAAGAAGTTCAGGAATATAATGTTTGCTTTTGAGAATTTATTGTGAAAAAGATTTTAAAGTATTAAAGTTTCAATTTCTAAAAATCCATGCAATAGAAAAATACTAAAATACAAATGGGAGGGGTTTTCTCACACAAACTACTAAGGTGTTGTGGGGGTTCGAACATGAGACTATTGGTCTAAAGTTAAGATCATTTTTCACTAGACTAGACGCTAATTTTAGATATATTAACTTTTTTTGGATACCAATTAATGTGACAATGTTTCACTTACTATAAAAAAAATAATGTCAAAATGAACCCAAATAGAAAATAAATTAAACAATACCACATCAATGGCTTAGTGACTCTTAAAAATTGTAAGTTTAATGGATCTAGCCATTTAATTTGGCACAAAAAATAATAATAATAACTTCGCAAACTCAACATTCATAAAGGGTTGTATGTTTACTAACTAGGAATTGGAGTGAGCATGAATCGGAGTAAGACATTTCCATTAATTTGTTTACTAACTATTAAGAATCAGAATGAAAATAAAGCTTATTCTCATTAATTTGTTCACTAGGTCTACGAAAATGCAAATAGCAAAAGTTAAGATTTACAATAAAGATCTGTTGGCATATTACACGCATTGGTATGTTTTGAGCATTTAAAACCTACATGGAAAAACTTGTCATTCTAACAAGTCCTTGTTTGTTTTAAGAATAGTTTTATGGACTCTTCAGGAGTCTTAATTAAATTTTAACTCCATCAAGATTTGAGTATGTGGCAACAATTCTGAAGATCAATGAACTAAAGTACACATTGTGCCTTTTAATTAATTTTTAATTCCTTCTATATCCTTTAAGAAATCGCTTTTGGCGATATACTTAAGGCATCTCTTAACTTTTATAAAATAAGTGCTCAAGATGATCTTCCAGTGTCAACCATTGATTTATTTTTATGTCTTGAAAGATCATGACGACAAAACTTCTTAGTGAATCCTAATAATGTTGTAGAGACAAGATCAACCCTTTTTGCCATGACTACAGTGGATGCCAATGCAACTGTGATTTTGGTAGAACGAAAGTCATACATGATGACCAGCACAAATGTTTCACATGATGATGAGATTGAAATCATTGTGTTCATTTAATCAAGTATGGAACTCTCAAAGCTTCATTACTGTTCCATTGAGTTTAACCATATTTCCTAGGCTGTGGGTTTTATATTATATTTTATGTCGAAGTTAGGAGGGGAATGAGGAAACTCACACACACAGGTACTATAAGGGCTTGAATCCAAGACCACTTGTGAGCACACCAAAAGCTTGGACTGGTGTTGTTTCTTAATGTTCAACAAAGAAAAGAAATAGAAATAGCTACTAACTCAAGTGATGTTGAGAGAAAGGAGAATCGAACCTAGGACCTAGGATGGAAGCATAAAGCCATAAAAGAAGAGGAGGACCACCTCTTGAAATAAAAAATGGCTCAATTGCAAATGGACATCTATTCAAATAATTAAAAAAAAAGTTTAAAATCTTGAATAGGGGGTGGTCGGGTGTTACTTTTCAAGTTATTATTATTATTATTTTTTATTGATATAAGTTTCATTATTTGGACGAGTATTTTTTATTTTTATTTTTCATTTTCAATTGGCCACATCTTCATTTTCAATTGCATTATCCTTAATTCATGAGTCGATTTTGCAATTAAATTTGGTGTAAATGCAACAAGATTAAAAGTCAAAATATGAAAAAGAAAGCAAAAAAGTGGAGAAGAGTCAAATCTCCTCCATCATGGCCCTTTTCTCCGCTTTAATCATTAATCATGATTTTATGAATATTCTCGCAACACGAAAAAGAAAAAAAAAGATATGGATATTTCTTCCTTTTTTATTTTCTCACTTCAGAGAAAAAAAACTCACACCACCAAAACAATCGTAGCCCTCCACGTGTTCTTCCACTCAAATCCAAAGCCATCCTCCCCCTATCTGCCACTCCTGTAATTTCACCCAAAAAGCAAGGGCAGTGTCAAATATGACGTAATCACGACAGCAATCCGCACTAACCTTATTTGTTCAGACCCAACAACAATTACATCCCAATCTGACTCAAACACGACAAACCCCAAAAAAAGAAAAAAGAAAAACAAAAGAAATGCAGGGAAAGCTAATATCACAGCGCTGTGACCCAGCCCCAACCTCTCTCGGCCTCTTTATTGTGGCGCACTTTAGCGCACTCCAAAACATTACGCAGAGAATTTCGCAGCAACAAACAGAGCAGTAGCAGCAGCAGCAGCAGCAGCAGCTGAAGCAAAACCTGAACACGACCTCACCTTACCTCACAGACCTCTCTATTGCTCTCCACCACAGCAAACGATACCGTATTGGACAGTCTCCACGACACACGCATCGCTCTCTCTCTCTCTCTCTCTCTCTCTCGTCTTCTTTTGTTTGCTCTGCAACTCTTCAAATTTCACCATTTTCAGCTCAAAACGAAGACCAAGAAGAACAATGGAGGCTTTCTACAGGCTCGAAGCTTGTGGAATAGTGTAGGGTTCAGATTCTTCGGAAACCGTTCAGCTTCGTTCAGTTTCCCTCTCTCTCCCTCTTTCACTCTCGCTCTGTATTGTATCCATGGCCGGCCGGAGATTGCGATTGAACTCGTGGAACTTGGATCCGGAGAGGAAGAGGACTGGTGGATTGAGGACGAAGCAGGCGGGAAGAGGATCATGCCGTGGAAGTTAGGCGCTGGAAATGTACGGTCTCCGGCACTGATATCTTGATGTGCTTCCTCGCTGTCTGTTTCTATTGGCTGTAAATTTGTGGTTTTCGTCCGATTACTGCTTTGATTTTTTGATTTTTGAGCTCCGAAGAAGCCGAAACTATGGGGCTTTTGCTTAAACAAGCGCTCAAGACACTCTGTGGTTCCAATCAGTGGGCTTATGCTGTGTTCTGGAAGATCGGCTGCCAAAACCCTAAGTAAGTTCCCCACAAATTGGACGAAACACAAACAATGCTGTAAAAATATTCGGTTTTCCTATTTTATTTGTCCTCCATTTCTTTTTGAAAATTTTTTCTTTGTTTGGCTAATAATTCTGCTCCCTATGTGTCTGTTTGGTTGCCCTGAGAAAGTGGAGAAAAGTTCGGATAATTTTCACTTTTCAGGTTGAGGTTTTAGAGATTTTAGATTTTATTTCAATTTTATTTTTCTTTTGTTTTCCTGCATTTTCTCAGTGGCCAAACAGTGTGGATCTGTTATCAGTTATATGTTGTCTCTTTCCGTTTGGTTGGAAGGGCTAGGGTTTGGGATATATTCTACGATGTACGATGGAGATGTTATAGTCTCATTGTTTAGTGTTTTCTCTCTTGTATTTGATTCGCAATCTTGTGTCTCTTTATTTCTGTTTTTGGAAGTTATGTTTTGGTTTTTGGTTTGTTCTGTTTTGTCTTTAAGAATCTAAGTGAAAAGTGGGTTTGCATTTAGTTTGCCAAACCCGCTCTTTATTGGACTCATTTACTGCCTATGAGTATTCCATCAGTATCTGTCTTCCTTATTGGTTTTATACCCTTTCAAGTAACAAGAAAGGTATTTTAATTATTATTTTGTTCACCAGCAATGACAGGTTAATTTGCTTTGACCCAAATAAAAAGGAGAGTTTTCTCTGCTGACCAGTTACTATCTTTTCTTCACTGTTTCACTTCTGAGAAATGCATTTTAAATAGATATGTTTGAACTTAAATAATTTATGACACATATTAAAACTACTTTCAATTAAATTGAACTATTTAGCCTTCAAGTATTTTTATTTATTTTTTGTACTTTTTATGTCATTATTTGTTGTTAATGTTCAAATCTTTGATGTGCTCATGTCCCATGCCATCTTTTGATGGTTTTGATGTCTGTTCTTGGGACTTTCATCTGTTCAGTGATGAGGCTTTTGTAATTTGAGTTTAAAGAAAATACTTCTACTTTGGTGGCAGACTATTAATTTGGGAATGTCATTATGAACCATCAATATGTTCTCTACCTAAACGCATTGCTGGAACTGAAAGAGCCGAATTACCATTTGGAGAGTGGGAAGGGTGCTGGGTTTCTTCTGAAGTGTGTTCCTCTTCTAATGGTATTCAACCAGAGGAAAGAGTGTCTTCACTTATTAGTAGAATGATGATGGATAAACCGTTTAATATAGTGGGCGAAGGGTATGACCTTTCTGTTAACTATGTTTGCTGCTTGGCATGTATCTCATTTTTAAAGTTCTTTTGTTATTAGCAGCCATTTTTAAAAACTGTTGTTTGGACCCTTTCAGAATAGTGGGACGAGCTGCATTTACAGGAAACCATCAATGGATTCTATCAAGCAATTACACTAAAGATGCCCATCCACCGGAGGTATATATTAGTATTTCGAATACCACATTTTGATATGAATTTTCTTATTTATTGCTGATGAAAATGGTACAATAAATTTCAACTTTACACACATGTTTGGCAGGATCTCATCTAACACTTTATTTCCATGTATATACATGAATACATATTTCATAAGAAGTTTATATGTGTGTGTGTGTGTGTTCGTATATATACAGTCCTTAAATTTTTTTTTGCTCACCAACTGTTTAATGAAAGATCGAACACTTGATATTAATTCCTGAAAAAAATAAATGTGTGTTTGATGTTTATTTAAAAAATAGAAGTACTTTATCAGGAACTGCAAATCAATCTTTGAATTTTCACGATGGTTGTTGAACAAAATTTTTCCTGCGAGTGGGGGGATGCAGTATTATGTAACAGAATTTCTACCCGTGCCTTTTAATACAGTTTTTTCCTTGAAAACTTGAAAAGTTCAATGAAATCCTTCTGAGAAAGTCAGGATCCTAATTAGTAAGCACACAGATTATACGGAATCAAGGTGATCTGTTCTTCGGTGGCTCTATTCTTCATAATTAAAAACATGTGAATGTTGGTTTTTCTCTTTTTCACGGAGTAGCTTGTCTTTATGCTTCAATGTGTAAAACTAAATTTTAAATGGAAGTTAACGATGTAGAGCCCTCTTAATAGTTTCATTAATGTGTCCCCCCAAAAAACAAAGAAATAGTTTTCATTAATGTGGTGTTTGTGAGAGGCTAAAACTTTAAGAAATCAGGGTTTGGCATTTGCACGTGGAAATTCTCAGAAACGTGGATTCACTAAATGTGACTTATATTCAAGTTTTGGGGTTTGACATTTGTACTTTATATGACTTGTTTTTGTGGCTGTTTCAGGTCCTAAATGAGATGCACCACCAATTTTCTGCTGGCATGCAGGTATGTCAGTTTTAATATAGTCCCACTGTTTTGCATATTCTGTATTTTTATGTTTCATAACAGTACTTGTGTTTTATTTGGGCTGCAGACAGTTGCAGTTATTCCTGTTCTTCCTCATGGTGTTGTTCAACTTGGTTCTTCCCTGGCTGTAAGTCCTTTATAGTTTATATTGGTTTAATGAGTTTAGATGGCAGAATGTATATTTACACAGTAATTGCATTTAGTTTTCTTTGTTGTGCATGTGGGTTTAATGAATTTAGATGACAGAATGTAAGTGGCACTGTTAGATATGTATATTGTTCCCTTAAATCACCCAAAAAATATTTTGTTCCAGTACTTTGCATCTTATTCTCCCACGCCTGACACTATCATTTGCTTTCTATCTTTATTTTAATTTTTTTTTAAAAAAATAAGAGAAATAACAATTTATTAAAGTAGAAAAGCTATACAAAGAGTAGATAAGGAATCCACAATCTGAAGAGAGAAGAGAAAATACAATAAAAGACAGACCACTAGAAACGAAGGTAAGCAAGGAAAGCTAATTCAAAAAATCTAGTCTCACATCACAACAGCTAACAAAACCAACATAATAGAAGAATGAGAATAATCCCTAAATCATCCCAAACCCATGCCCATAAAGCTGCCAAGAACCTCACTCTGTCCCAGAGTTCATCTTCTTTCTAGCTAAACGACCAGGTTTGTCCAACCATGGGGAAAATCTATGGTTGTCCATCCTGGTAAAATTTTCACCTGTGTAACTCTGGATTAGCAATATTTGTAAGGCAAGACCTCTGGGCACTGTACTTTAACCTAATGAGAAGTGGTTATTTTGTATAACAAAAGATAGTTATGGGCTTCAGGACAAATGAATTATTTATTTGACTGGGCAAGCCACTGTTGCAAGCAACAACGGATGTATGTAAAAAAAAAAAAAAAAAAAAAAAAAAAAAAAAAAAAAAAAAAGGGGCAAAATGGATGATTTAAGACAAAAATTCCCTAGCAATATGAGTCTATTTTATTTTATTTTACCTGTATTACTATTAGTACCTATGTTTTCTTCAAGTTTGACCATTCTGGCGCAAGCTGTTGGTTTTTTTTAGCTAGCCAAATCAATTCTTGATTTCTGTCAGTTGCTTCCAACCTGATTAATGTATCCATTCTGCTTCAGATGATGGAGAATATAGGATTCATCAATGATGTGAAGAGTTTAATCCTGCAACTAGGATGCATTCCTGGTGCTCTGTTATCAGAAAACTATGCAACAAAAGATTTTGTTGAGAAATCTGGAGTACCCTATACTGCTGGTATGCTGACACCTATGCATCCAGCTGGAAATTATAAGGAAACAGGTTCTGCTCAGATGACTGATAACTATACACATCAAAGCAACTCATCTCGGGCCTCAGGCCTTGTTGGCCAACCATCTCACTCTCTTCTTAAAGATGTTCACAATAAGTCTCAAACTACTGATTCAACATTTCAAACCCCTAACCTTACCCAAAATCTACCTAAAATTCATGATGACCCTCAACAACCAACGGTTTCTCCATTGATGAAACCAAACTTTTCTTTTGACGGCCAACGAAAGGATGGAGTTGGGGGAGCTGAAGTAATTGCCACCAATTCTGATGTGTGGTTGAACCAGCTGACTCCCTCATATAATTCAAGCAGGGGACTCAAATACCCATCTCGTTTGGGTCAATCAGGTGCAAATCAGGGCAGTCTAAAGTTGATGGAACATCAGATCTTATCTGGTGGTAGCATTAGGTATGATCTTGATAACAACTTTAGTGCGTCGAATGGTATCATGCCTCAATTGAGAACAAATGGAAGTTTAATCCTTGATCAGAGCAAAGGTTCGATAACTGCTTCGGTGGTCGGAGGAAGTCAAGCACATGGTGGATCAAGTAGTCATTCAAGGCAAATTTTAGTTCCTTGTTCTCCTTCAGACTCACACAGGGCAGCTGACATCAACCTCTGTGGTGGACGTCTGTCCAGTGTTAAATTTCAGAAGGCTGATGATTTCCAAACAGAAGGGGTTTCTTCATCCAGTGTGGCAGGTCAATCAGCTTCTCAGAACATGCTTTCAAAGGGCTCTGACCAGAGACAGTTTTCTACCAATGTGAAGTTTACTCAGACTGAACTGGCCCTGAGGGAGCAACGGATGGATCATGAATTGTTTAAAGCCCTTAGCATCCCATTGATTCATCCAGATGAACACATGTCTTTGAGCGAGAACATCCCTGATATTATTCATGATGACCTTGATTATAAAATTTGTAGTCCAGGATCTGCAAATGCTACACATGATGCTTGTACTCAAATTTCATCAGGAGCTGATTTGTTTGACGTTTTGGGTATGGATTTTAAAAATAAGCTGTTTAATGGCAATTGGAACAAATTTCTTGCTGATGAGATAGGTTCAAATACAAAAGACCTGGGTGAGAATACTTCGACATTTACAAATGTGCAGGAGTTGGGTTCTGATTATTATTCACCAGGTCAAGGAATATCAAACAGTAGCATTTTCTCTGGGGGAGGCGCTGACCATCTTTTAGATGCTGTGGTCTCTAGGGCTCAGTCTGCTGTCAAGCAGAGCTCTGATGATAACGTGTCATGTAGAACAACATTGACAAAAATCAGTAGCTCTTCCATGCCTAACAGTTCTCCCACTTGTGGACGGGTTAGTATGCCTAATCATGTGCATGGGGAGACATTGGGCCTTCCTAAGGCTATTGGAAAAGCAGGGATAGAAGAACCCAGTTCATTCCAATCTGGGTGTAGCAGGGATGATGTGGGGAACTGTTCCCAGACTACCTCCATATATGGATCTCGTATAAGTTCTTGGGCTGAACAGGGTAATACTGCAAAGCATGAGAGTAGTGTTTCAACTGCATATTCTAAGAGGCCTGATGTAATGGGAAAATCAAATCGCAAAAGGCTTAAACCTGGAGAGAACCCTAGGCCAAGGCCAAAAGATCGTCAGATGATCCAAGATCGGGTCAAAGAGTTGCGGGATATTGTGCCAAATGGAGCAAAAGTAATATATTTGTTCTTTGCTTCCTGTCCGTTCTTTGGAATTTTACAATAATCAGATGCCAGATGCTGATGCCATTCTTTTGATTCCATTATATTGTTTTTACAGTGTAGCATAGACGCACTGCTTGAACGCACTATCAAGCATATGCTTTTCTTGCAAAGCGTCACAAAGCATGCTGACAAGCTGAAACAAACAGGAGAATCTAAGGTACAAAAGACTGTCTACTCTCTCCCCTGTGTTTGCTGTTAAACAGAAAATTTCTCATGGATGAGAAAGTTGGGAGTCAGGATATGAGATATTTAAAAACAAGGAATATTATGCTTCACAATTTTTCTAAGTGGTATAATGTGTATATTATATATTTGATGCCATAAATTAGGGCAGCTGTAGAAATTATAAAACATAGTAGTAAAAGTCGTTTATGTGCTATCATGGTTTGATGGTACACCGTTGTTTGCTTTCAGATATAACAAATAAGAAAGAAAACCTTTTTAGATGGTGTATTAAATTTCTTTGCCATGCAGATTATTGGCAAAGAAGGTGGACTGGTTCTAAACGACAACTTTGATGGGGGGGCAACATGGGCTTTTGAGGTTGGGTCACAATCAATGGTTTGCCCTATCATCGTTGAGGATCTGAATCCACCTCGTCAGATGCTTGTGGAGGTAGTGATTAACATTCTATTGAATTTCTGAAATTGGAGCTTTGGCTGTAAGTGAAGTGTGTAACAATGTTTTTCTGTTTTATTATCTCTATTGCCAGATGCTTTGTGAAGAACAGGGTTTCTTTTTAGAAATTGCTGATTTGATCAGAGGTTTGGGTTTGACCATCTTGAAGGGGGTGATGGAAGCTCGGAATGATAAGATATGGGCACGCTTTGCAGTAGAGGTAATATTCAAAAGCCTTTTGTATTTGGAATTATCCTTTCTGTTTTTTCCCTTTCTTTTTTATTATTTCGTTAGCGACATGCTTTGCTTGTTCAGTCTAGCAATAATGTTTTGGAACTTTGTTAGTGAGATTGTCAGTAATTATTGTTCTTAATTTATCGTGAAAATTCTGTCCTTGTTTTTTTCTCTCCCTGAACTTTGGTGTAACCCCTAACCTAGTTTAAGGCCCTAAAATTCCTCCTTAATAGTTATTACGGAATCAAATAGAGTATTGAATACTCAAAAAATATTCTGCTTCAAGCATCATCTAAAATACAACTACACAAAATTTCTGCACCTGCAAATCGGTGAATCTCCTACTACCATGAAGTCCTTAAATTCCCATTCAATCTACTACCCCCATGCCCCTCTTTAAACCATTTAAGCCTGTGGTCACAAACAGCTGTATCTGTATTTATCATACTGGAGTCCTGCTATCTGGAATCTAAAGGATTTTTAACATCAGCTTCATTTCAATCTCCCAAGCAAGTGCTAAAAAGTGTGTAGGTCGCACTATATGAAAACTAATGGAAATACTTTTAACTTGAACCATGAGTCAAGGATATAGTAGCCTGTTGGATTCTTTTAATTTAGGTTAAAAATGAAAATTAGAATAAACATATAAACTTGAGGAACTCTTTGTATCATAGTATCAGCAACAAAGACGCCATGGTAATCTTAAGCGTCCACATTTTCTCATAAAAATGTAGAGATGAGAGTATGTATGTTTGTTGTAGGCCTTCGCTGCCCTGAATTTATTACCAATATTTTCTTGATTAGAATGAAAGTTGACGTGTCATTCTCTTCCTGGATTCCTTAACGCGAGCTTTGATCTCTATTAAGTGTTTTTGCATATGCTTTGTTGTCACTACTCATTTTTATCGCGTTGAAATCATGTACTTGTTCAAAAGGCACATGCAACACTAGCTTCTATATATTGGTCATTTACTTCCAAGTTTTATCTGCAGGCAAATAGGGATGTAACGAGGATGGAAATATTTATGTCGCTTGTTCAACTTTTGGAGCAAACTGTAAAAGGCAATGCATCATCGGTAAATGCCATGAAGAACAGTATGATGGTCCAACACTCTTTTCCTCTAGCATCACCTATCACTGCAACTGGTAGGCCTAGTAGTTTACAATGAACCACTAGCTATACAGTTTGTTGGTCTGGAAATGTTAACCTATACATGAGTTCGTAGGAGCAGTAGATTGTGATGGGCCACTAGCTGTAGTTTGTTGGTCTGGACGTGTTCAGAGCAAGCGTAGTGTTTGCTTGCCATGACAAACATGCATTCTAGACTAAGTTCTCTCTGGAGGTTCTCACTTTGACCAAGTTTATCTACCACAAATCGTGATCCTGACCTCTCACTTTTAGCTGGGTGAGATTTGTTGTATTAGTGAGGAACTCTGCAAAATCATTCTAATGGTGTGTTTACTTTTACCTAGCTAAGAATCCTGAATGTTTGAATTATTGGCCCTACTAAAAGATTTTAGCCATGGAGGGCACTTTGTCAGTTTGTGTAGAGGCTACTGATTGGGTATGATTTATGGGCTGTAGATTTTTGCAAATGTATAGAGGTTGTGGGATATATGGGAGTAAGGGTTTCCAAGTGTTAGTTAAACAAGACTGCCTTTTTCTTTATTTGAATTTGTAAGGTTTATTAATCAGTTCTGTTTCATGCCTGAGAATGCATGGTAATTGACAAATGTTTTCCTTTGGATTCTCTTGCTTTAGTTTCTGCTTTAATTGAATGGCATGACATTAAACTTGAAAGTCGCATGATATATATCAAAATTCTTCTTTTTCAAATTAGTTTTTAATGAGGTGGTCATGACCATAATTATATCATGGCTGGTCTCGGTAGAGGCCCGCTGACCTTTGGGGCCAACAGTGGCCAACTTCAGTTGAAGTGACACATTATGATGACCACCCAGATGGTGGTCAGCCTTAGTTGACCAAAGAAAAAAAGTTGAAATTGGCATTTCCAGCGTCTCTGCCTTGTAAATGCCAGTGATTGTAAGACTTTTTTTTCCCCTTAACAAAAGAAACAAGGGCCAAATAGGTCGGGTGCAAATAAAAGCCGCTTTCTTGTTTTTCCTTAATTTGGTGGTAGTATGGAGCTGAAACGAAAATACGATACAAAAATACTCCTTCACGGAGGCCACAATGATCGTGTGGGTGAAGCAAATAGGTTAGTGGAGGTGACGTACGTAGCTTGAGGGAGGTCACTATGTAATGCTCCAATAAATACAAACCGCCATTATTATTGTGTGGAGCTCTTTGTTTATGTCATTTATGAGTACTTCATAGAATTAAACGATCACTTCAATGAGGTAAATACTGAGTTGCTTTGTTTGGCATGTATGATTCATTCGTAGTTTTGACAAACAAAAGATAATTCATTTTGCTCAATTTTATCCTCAAGATATTTTAGATTGGGACTTATTAGCATATGAAGATCAACTTGAGCTTTATATTCGTCATATGCGTTTGAGTAGTTGTTTTTCTCAATTGCAAGGGATTAGTAGTCTTGCAAAAAAAGAAAATAAAAATGGTTGACAAAGGGATGCATAGAACAACTTTGTATTTGTTATTATATTGACTTTAGTTTTATTGGTTGCAATTGCTTAATGAAGATAACTCACACTAAAAAAATGGAGAATAACGACATGTTCACTAATTCGTAATTGGATTAGGAGCAGTTGATTGAGGAAAATTAGATTCCAAATTCCTATTGAAGTTGTTTACTAAACCATATGGAATTCGGGTAGGAGTGGTACTAATTACTAAAATGTCCTCGTTGTTGGGTTAAAGTAGATGGCAAATTTAGAATTTTTAAAATTGTGTGAAGATATAATGGGTAAAAAAGATGAATTCCTAATATGTTAGTTTTTTAGAAATTAGAATACCACCTCCCACTCAAGAATTGAAGTCCTTCAAAATTAGGAATTCAATTCCTAATTTTGTGTGGGCTCCATAGGTGGAATTCAATTCCTGATTAGTAAACGCTTCAATTCCTAATTTTGTGTGGACTTCATAAGTGGAATTCAATTCCTGATGAGAATTCCAATTCCTGATTAGTAAATACACCATAAGAGAGAAACCATAAGTGAACACTCAGAGACAAACAACTCGCCAGTCTAAGAATACTACCGAAGAGAAGCTAGGAAAACGAGAAGAAAACCTTCTTTGCAAAAACCAAAGGCTATTAAATTCACTCAAAACAGAATGTCCCATTCCATAATGGAGGAGATGATTAAATAGTATTGTCATGGAACAACCCTCCATAAGTAGTTTATCATAAATAACCTCATATGTACCAAATAGGGACAAGCCTATGATTTCAAAATGGGATTGGCTAGTTTACCTTACTAGACTGTTAGAGTTTAGGCTCAACTAAACCCTTATGTAATTGATCATAAATATATAAATTTAATTTACGAACATATGATTTTTATTTTATTTATTTAAAGAGGCCTATTTGACACCAGTAATGCCAACAGTAATTGATTATTTATGCTTAGCATTAACACTAACTATAAGAAAAGAATAAAACTCACCTGGGCTATACCCCAGGTCTGTGCCTGGTACCAAGACTTGGAACAATGTATGTATCAAACATAAACCTAACAAATGCATTGAACTAGACTTTGAATTAAATAAGATAAATGCAACATGTGCTAATTAATTAGATGGGCTAGGTTCAGTGTCAAGAACATTTTCGTCTATGAATATTGTAAAACATCTACTTCGCGACAGAATATGAGATCAATGGTTGACTGATATGTAGCTTAGTTGTTTACATTGAGAAATTTTTTTCCATTGTATTCATAATGAAACTATAATATTTTAAGAATATAAAAACTTGTCATAGACAATTGTAACTTGTAAGGTTGTGTTTATCAGAAATTATGAATGAAAGTAGTATTTGTTTATATTATAGCTAATTGAGCATGATTCGACAATGGTCAAGCTCACTAAGACATTACGGGCACTAAAGGTAAGCTACAAGGATCACCAAATCTTTACTTATCGAGGTTTAAGGACGACAATGATCCACTTCGCCCAAAGGCCAAGAAATTTGTTAGTACCACAAAAAGGCGTTTTAGTACAAGCAAAGAACTATATTATCCTTGGACATGCGTCGCCACCTTGTGCCGCGTCAAGATACCCACACTGGAGAAATGCAAAGGAGTCTAATCGCCAGTTTGGGAGTGCTTTTGGGAGGGCCAAAAGTGTTTTTTGATAACTAAAAGCACTTATGACAGCATTTGGCAGAAAAATTTAGAAGCGCTTTTGGGTCATAGAAGCGCTTCCTGGAGAAGCACCTGCTATGTGCTTCTTCAGGAAGCAATCTCAAGTGCTTTTCCACGAAGCCCTTTAATTTTTTATGAAAATTCTAAATTTTTATAATAAAAGCACTTTTGTTAGAAGCGCTTATGAACAGAAGTACTTCCTAAATAAGCAGTCTCAAACGAGCCCTAACTAGGCGACTGCCATATGGCTCCGAGACTGAATTCTCATATGTACGTACCCTTATTTTGTCAGAATTCCTTCAGACTCCACGCTTCCCTAACTTAAGCATCAAATACGCTCCTAGGTTGGTACCACAACGGGACTGAGTCGTCATTGATTTTCTTGCCTTGCACATCAATCCCCACATGCCGAATGACCCTTGAGGTAGTAAGATATCACCTTTAAGTTGAATCTAATTTTGGATATCAACAATATCATTTTATTTTTCAGAGTATTTTTTGTCTAAATTTTTTTGGTAAGCTTTACACATTGACCTCTTTGGATAAATTTTTTGAATCCGCCGCTATGAGCTGTGTCCTCGGATTTGGTCCAGATTTTGGGACTCGAGTGGTTTAGATTGTTGGTGGGCGTGGCACTAGGTCTTTTGGGCTTCATGTTTGAAACTCGGGGTGAGGAGGGGCTTTGTCTTGGATTCAAGGGTTCAAGTAGTCTCAAGGTGTCGTCCTTCTCGCTATTATTTTTCTTTCATTTATGTTGCTTTCCATCAAATCCACCAAGGATTGGCTTAAAGGTATTTGTGGATACTTCCGAACGCAATCATGAAAGGGCTGCTTAGTCATTTACTAGACCCACCTTTTGCCAGACTGTGGAGAAAGGCTGTACAGCCTAATAATGCACTAATGTGAAGTGTGCATAAGGGCTTTGGAACGTAGCTTGGAGTTGATGGTCATAGAGTCGTAGCTCAATAATCTGTTTTCTTCCCCTCACATTTTTCATTTATTTTTCATTTATTTTTTATTTTTTCTTAATTAAATGTTTTACTTTATTACTTTTCTTAATTAGAAACCAAAGATAGTATGCATGACTAATTTTCAGTTTAGTAGTATTTTTCTTTTGAATATTGAAAGAGGTTCGAAGATTCGTATTCTTCATAACCTACTTGTATTAAAATAATAAAATAAAAAACAAAAGATAGAACGCATCATGCAAAAATGTAATGCTAGGGACGGGATCCAACTATCAGGACACTATACAACAATATCCTAGACTGCCGACAGATGAGAAGGGTCCTTATCTTGCAACTTGACGTACTGCCATGAACAGATTTTGAAATTAAGTTTCCAGAAGGGCCGTTATATCATCAACTGACGCATTTGTAATTGCTTGGTACGACCTGTATTTTAATTTGGTAACCATCTTGTCTTTCTCGTAAGTGTTGGGTTGTCAACTGTTTGTCCCAACTTTTTCCATCAACTTGATGATATGGCTAGAGCACTCAGCTGATCATCACATTCATGCACGCGTCTGTTAAGTCTAGCTAAGAGGGTGCAATAGATATTATTCCAATTATAGCAAGCAAACCAGATTGATGTAGTCTGATTTCGGCTTCTAATGTTCATTGTTAGTCAAGTGGTACTTCTCTTTTGAAGTTGGAAGAGGTCCAGTTTGAATCCCCCTTCATCTGTTGATACGTACAAAAACGATCTTTACATTTATATACCACATTGTTTATCACTTCTTTAATAGAGGTGAGCCTCATTGTATTGATAGGCTTTCTTTTACTTAAAGAGTGAGTTCTCGATTATAATTAAAGTAATTAAGGTTCCTATTTACTGCACTGACAAGATTATAAGTTTAGTTAATAAAGAGTTATATGCCCACATACAACTCTCATGCACTGCCAAAAGGATCAAAAGCTTGTCCTTGTATCCTCAGCTTTCACTCATATGATATGTGGCTGAGCGTTTTCAAGGGAACATGTGAATTTTGATTGAAATCGCATATGCTCCAGCTAGGCACGTACG